GACGGGACATGGGCTCTAAACTCGGAGCGTTCCAGTTCACGACGGGACATGGGCTCTAAACTCGGAGCGTTCCAGTTCACGACGGGACATGGGCTCTAAACTCGGAGCGTTCCAGTTCACGACGGGAATGTGTGTTAAAATGTCACGGGGGGCGATAATATTTCTTGCCACATTTTCAGCTTCCTGCTCTGAGGTGTGTTCTGTTTTTGGCTGCTGGGTCTTGCTTGGGGGGTTAACCGATATGTTAATGTCCTGATGGGTCACGCCGGCTTTCTGTGTACTGGGCAGGTGGCATGTAGAACCACCCTGACTGTTACTGTTATTTCCTTTGTAATTTTGTTGTGTAATCGGGGGTCAATTAAACCCATAGAAAATCCACACGCTCCCTCCCCTGGTGACTGGAGCTTTATTATTCTATTTATTATTCTCCTGAAATTCTCCTCCCCTTCTCAGCTGATAACCTTTTTGTTTTTTTCCTCTGTTCCCACCCCCTTTTTCTCTCACTCTTTTGAGTTGACGCAGTCTGACGCTTCCAGACGGACGCGGAGAACAAGCCGTGGATTGTACCGGGTGGGACGGCCCCCTCCTTTGTGGGCCCGGCATGTGGGGGGGGGGGATCGCCACCGGGTGGGACGGCCCTCTCCTTTGTGGGCCCGGCATGTGCCGTTGTGGGGGGGGATCACCACCATGCTGTGCCGTCGCGGCCGCGGGAAGGAGGCCATCTTGACTAGAACGTCGGGGGGCATGTGGGGTAACGGGAAGATCAGGGTTAGATAATCGCCCAAAGCCGGGATCACACTGACTAGGTCTGGGCTCTTCTGATGCCTGCTGTAGCTGATTTTGTACTAATACTATGCGGTTAATGACATCAGCAGAGTCGGGGGCTCTGAGTGACTTGCGCGGGGGGGTGTCTGACCTGTGTGAGATGGAGTCCCACCCCCCGGAATGAACTGCAGATAGTGCCAGTCATGTCTCTCGTCTCCACTTGCACCCGCAGGTTGCTGATTCTTACAAGTACTGGATGCTCCTCTAGGAAGCGACAATGTTTCTAAGTAGATCACACTGGTCCCTCTGGTCTTCCGTGACGTCCCGTATCACTCGTGCGCCGACGCTGTCCTGCCCTGGTCGCTAGTTCCGCATACAGCCATATGTTTGTAATGTAACATCTGCTTCACTTGTATGTCGCTTGGGATAAAAGCATCTGGTTAATGAATCTCAATGTAATTTTCATTTACTTTTTAAAAAATTTATTTAGCAGGCAGTTTTATCCAAAGCGACGTACAGTTTGAGGAAACGGGGGCAGCCCGTCTCTGGAGGGATTGTGTGATAAGCACTAAAGTTTATCCTGCCTTTATTGGAAGCGCCGGGCGGTTTTGTGTCAGAGCCCTTGGAGGTCATCATACACTGAATCCACCTTTGTACCTCTTCTTCTCAGGCTTGCAATAAACAGTAAACATGGTGAGTTCTGAGGTAGGAGAGATATGGGTTTCTAGGTATGGAAGCATATGTGTAGCAAAATTCAATTTGCAATGCAATATGCAAAATGACAATACAATATGCAAAATGGCAATGCAATATTCAAAATGGCAATACAATATTCAAAATGGCAAATACAATATTCAAAATGGCAATGTAATTCTGTATTTAAATTTACATTTTCCATCACCTCCACACGTGCAAAATTTGGTGCAGAATGAAATTGAAGATTAAATTATATTATTTACATGTTTCAAACAATCTAAACGTAACACGCTTCCGCCAATCCCCGCCTTGACGCAATGATTGCCGTAGGGTGGGTGTGGTCAGCTCGGAATGCATTTTCAAAGCCTCATTGAATTTTGCTACAAATATCCCACGGCGTCATGATGAAAATGCAATCGTAAGTGTCCTAACTGTTAGTCTAAATGCATTTAGGACAAATAACATTTAAATGATAATTTTGCTACTGTTTCTGCTTGGACATGTTACACATATCAAATCAATTTGGGTTATACATTTTCATTTTAATTTTACTACTTATAAAGCATTAAAATTAGTATGCACTTTACAACTTAAGACTACTGTTGGAAATGGCAAATGTAAATAATTTAGTCTTCAATTTCATTCTGCACCAAATTTTGCACGTGTGGAGGTGATGGAAAATGTAAATTTAAATACAGAATTACATTGCCATTTTGAATATTGTATTGCCATTTTGCATATTGCATTGCAAATTGAATTTTGCTACACATATGCTTCCATATCTAGGGGGGGGGTCCTCTCCCCTTTCATCGCTGGACCCACTGAATTCTTAAACTCTTCTTTATCAGAGACGTTGTGTTTGCGCCAAAGCCGACGGGGCACCCTGTCTGCCCCCCGCAGCACGCCCCATGGGTAGACAATTAATGAGGATTTTATTACGGCACTTAATCAGTAGAGCACTCCCGCCCACCCCATGTGAAGTGGGCCCCCTCCCTCAGTTACAGGGGGGGGTCGTAACACTCCCGGGACAGAATAGCCAAGTGGCTTAATTGAAAGTTTAGTCAAAAAAATGTCAGTGCAATTTCTGAGTGATAACTGAGTACCTGAGGAGTACAGTGTTCACTCCTCAGCTGGACAGGATGTCCCTCCCAGTCCTGTACCCCCCAAATCTCTGCTTACTGGGGTTTATAGAGAGAGAGCTGAGCTTCATCGCAGTGCATTATGGGTGAGAGGCAGAGAGAAGGACCCTGACAGGCTCTGCCCGCTGTCCCTGCCTTCTGTTGCGATTCACTTTAATTCACCGGCGTCAGCCGATGTCTTACAAGCTGGGACTGGGCACTTTAACCAACCCGATCCATGTGAGCAGGTTCTGTGGGTTTGTTTAACGGGATAACAAGCAGATGATCGCGTGCCAAACCTGCTGCCTTGACCCAGTGAGCCGTGGGGCGAGGGGGACACGCTGAGGGCTTTTGGGAGGATATGCCCCCTTTTCCATCATGTAGGAATGTTCGGAATGAAACTTCATCAAATGGTGGATAATTTAGGTCATCACCAAGGAAACAGGCAGCATTCCGTGAGGTTGCAGTTCTGGAGCAAATTCGGAATGGAAGGCACCCTCTGTGCGCGTTGACACTGGGAACGTGAGGCAGCGGAGTTACGTCTGCGTACCGTAGGGCTGGAGTTACCATCGCCTGTTTGGATATCAGGGGACCAACCTTTGGGATTTTCGTCCTTTTCCGACAGACTACCTTTCGCAAGGTGTTGACCTGTCTGGCATCGACGTCATCGAAAATGACCTCCTGTTCATAAGCCGGGCCCGTTTGGAGGTGGAGAACCAAGCCAAGAGACTGCTGGAGCAGGGCATGGAGATCCAGGTAGGGCAGCTCTCACACACCCGTATCACCATCCCTGCCCTTTCCGTCTGTTAGTGCTGACTACAGTAGCCACGGACTTCCACATCACTGCTGTTACCCTGATGGCTTCTCCGTATCTGCTTCTGCATCTTGCTTCTTTCAGGGCCTCTCCTGTCCGATATGTATTATATTTTCTGCTGCCAGCCATTGATGAGGCTAAATGGGTCTGTGTGTGATTCCAGGGCACTAAGAGTGTTAAGCCAGCCGACGGGAAACAGGAGGCCGAGTCTGTTTCTGCTCAGTGTCGCCTTTTGTGCATGAAGCCCTGTCCCCTTCACCTTGTTATTGTATAAATGTACAGTGGCTGGACGATTCAAGCCTCTAGAAGAAGGGTGAGCCGTGTTGGGCTGTAGGTCAGCTGTAGATGAGGTCTGACCCTGAGCGCCGTGATCTGTGAGCCTTCGGGGTGATGTGAGGTAACCAGTTCGTATGTCGGTCACAAAACCTGTGGAGTTATTTGTCAAGTCATAAAAATCATGATGGGACACAAACTGCCTCTGCAGAGAGTAGCTAGCGCTTAGTCGCCCAACGTAAGTGCTGAACTCCACAAAAGTACAACCTCAAGAATTTCCAGAGAACTGAATCAGCACTCAGCCTAAAATGTTGGGATGGATGGATGTTTTATTGTCTTGTGCAGCTCATAAGACACCAATAGCATAATAACCCGCTAAGGGGTCTTTCGTACACTCTATTTTTTCAGAAAAAAGCTGGAGTTTGTGGCTACGCTCTTGCTCAGAAGTGGTTTGTTTCCCAGGCCATAGTGCTGAAACGTGTAAAACCTTGAACCCCTGATTTAATGGGAGAGACGGGGAAGTGGTATAATGAGTCATCGGCGTCTGGGTGGGTTTACAGTTGAGGAAAGCCAAAGGATGATCCACAATAGGAGCTGGTGTGTTCAGCCTCCTCGTGGGAATCATTAACATTGACGTATGCTCTGTGTGGTCGTATAACAGCCAAGGAAGATGGTGCCGTTTTTCAGGACCGGGTCTAACTGTGGTTCCCACGTGGTCTCCT